AAAGATGTGTAAACCGTCACTAGGTTTTGGATAAAGTGTACCCTCACAAACCTGTCACACCTGCATTTGAAACGTTGGTTACCATAGCAGTATAGTATTGCAACATGGCATTTGGGTCTTCTAACTAAAATAGGAAAATAGGAACATAAATAGTACCATCATTGCCAGACCTGGCCTACATCTGGTTGACATACACCCTGCCATGACTCCAGTCAGTCAGAAGTACCATCTTGATGTCAGATCCGGGCCAGACCTGTTTTCTGTGGGCCTGGGTCACATAAACCAAACCACAATCAAGCCAGATGTGGCATTCCATCACATAAACAGTGCCATCTATGCCAGGCCTGGCCCATATCTGGATGACATATGTCTTATCATGCCAGAAGTCAGCAGTGCCGGTTTGATACCAGATCCAGGCCAGACTTGATATGTGGGATTGGGCAGAACAATAACACATAAAAGACAATCTTATTAGAGTATCCATCGCCAATCTTTATTGCATACAAATCACACTTAGTGGGTAAAGTGACCCCAAACAATGCAAAACAGCATTTTTGGTGGAGATGTTCATGAGTAATAGTTGTGGTACTTCAGGATCTAGTTAGTGCTACAGACACAAATGAGCATCAAGCAAACAGTTTCTGAGAAGTTCATCGCACAATGTGTGAACACAAGCCAGTGCACAAGCCCTAGATAACTGGAGAGAGTTGCATCAGGAAGGCCATCTGGCATCAAATCTTTGCCAAATCAACCTGTTATGAGAAAATTGTGCTGTTACCAGCAGTGCTCTGCTTTACTCTCTGTCAGGTCTTGGCGACGGCTCTTCAGCCACCTGTCTGGAGAATGAAGAGAAAAAAGAGGATGAAGAGTCAGATGTTTCTTCTCTCAAATCCAAACCACCGACACCATCAAAGACAGGTATTAACTTTAATACTAGATCAATGATCCTATAAACTGGCAATATTTAATTATTAAACTTCTACTAACATTTTTTAGTATTTACCTTAACATAGTCTGTGTTGACTAAAGTTTATAAACTTGTGAAAAAAGTATGTGAACATTAACTTTGCAATGCCAAATCAAACCATGGGCACTGATCTGCTGCTGGAAAAGCCTCCACCTCTGGTTCAAGGCTTTCCATCAGATTGTTGCATCTGGCTATTATCTGTTGGATAAGTATGAAGAAAACCATTTAAGAGCAGTACCAGTAATGCCAACTCAGCTGTCTAGTCTGTAGCATTAATACTATTAACGGCTGCTGAAAACTCAACCAGAAGTAAAATTGAATGTTGACCAAGTAAAGCTGCTATTTGTATTTAGTAGTGAAACATTAACATTTATGAGTGATTGTTTTGCCCCCTCCTTTTCCCTGGGAAGCTGAAAAATAAAATAAGGAAAAATGTTCATAACTGAATCCTGATCTGATGCCTTCAAACAACATTTTTAACCTGGGCAAGAATCAGTTAAGTTAAAAGCATATTTAATGTATGATAACAGAATAACTTTGCCTCAGTAAAATGGCAAATTTTTTGCACATGTAGAATATTTCCAGGATTTAATGCTATCTTAACCATGCAGTGCAGAAAGTAAACCCACATATAAATATCGAGGCATAGTACCAAGGAAAAATGGGTTTCCTTAGAATAAAAGCACATGTGAAATTAGCTATATTAATAAATGCCTGCATTCGTTTATATAGGACACTTTCAACTTACACTTTTTTGATGGCTGGCTGACCAGCATATATTAACAACTAAATGTACATCATTAATGCACGGATTGTTACCCGTGTCCTTACTATAAAACTCTCAATGTCTTCTGTTAAAAACCCCCATTATCAACTTTCATAATAAAAATTATACAGTCATGAAAGAATAAACCAAAGTGGCTAAAATCTGCACACTTGCAAATGATTTTATCTCTATAAAATGTTCCCTAAAAGGTTTGCTGCAGTGCCCTGGTCATTAAAGTGGACAACAAAAACAACATTTTTTGGGGGGGCACTGACTTCACAACAAAAAGCATTGCTGATGCTTGCCTGTGGAAAAGGGAGTGTCACAGCTACAGAGGCAGACGTATGGAGTGACGACAGAAGGACCCGAGTGCAGATGCAGACGACAGAGTAGTTGGGTGTGATTTTTTATTTACAGTGAGACTCAATGCAAACAAAAGCAGAGTATGGCAGGAATAAACTTACAAAACCTGAACATGGAGAAACTAACAAAAGAACACGAGGAACAAAAGAAACGTAACAAAAACCTGAAACTGGGAACTAGGAGCCTGAGATATGAAACATCGAGGAAGAAACGCAGAGGCAACATGGAGGATGACACACAGGGGAAGATTGACAACCAAACCAGCAATGAACAAGGAAGATGCAGGGCTTAAATACACAAGTAGGACAACAAGAGGATGGGGAACTGGTGGGAACACAGCTGGGACGAATCTGACATAACGAGACACAGGGAAACAAAACTCAATACACTGAACACATGACAAGGGACTATCACAATAAAACAGGAAGCAAGAGACGTTCATGATGACACAGACAAGACAATGAGACATAGAAACATGTGGCGAGGTAAGATGAGGCGCGGAACCAGAAGAGAAACCAGGAACAGTAAATATAATACAACAGAAAACCACAATTCAAAGAGTGAAACTTGAACCAAAAACACAAACACTGGCAGGAGAAAACAAAGGACCAGAAATCAGGCCTGCAGTCTGTTATTCAAACTACATTAAACTGTGTGCTTTTCTTTTTTAGATCCCAGTGTGCCGGGGTTTGATAATGCATTATATAGACTGAGAGAGTCCTTTCCTTGGAGACGGAAAAAGGAAGTCCCTTCTGAAGACTTGAAGGAAGAAAAAGGTGGGAAGTACAAATAATTTTTACTGTACCTGTTTTTAATTTTCAGTGCTTTATTTAAGTATTCCTTTTTCCTTTTCCTTTTTAATGCAAATATATCTCCGTTCTACTCCTTATGTTTTCAAATCAGACTTGCTAGATGTAATGTATTTGAGGTTTTTTTTTTAGTATGTCTCTTTTATTTCCTGTCACTGTGCACCTTTAAACATCAAACTGATGCAACCTCATTGGGCAGAACAATAACACATAAAAGACAATCTTATTAGAGTGTCCATCGCCAATCTTTATTGCATACAAATCACACTTAGTGGGTAAAGTGACCCCAAACAATCCAAAACAGCATTTTTGGTGCAGATGTTCATGAGTAATAGTTGTGGTACTTCAGGATCTAGTTAGTGCTACAGACACAAATGAGCATCAAGCAAACAGTTTCTGAGAAGTTCATCACACAATGTGTGTACACAAGCCAGTGTACTGCAGGTCCCAGCCCTAGATAACTGGAGAGAGTTGCATCAGGAAGGTCATCTGGCATCAAATCTTTGCCAAATCAACCTGTTATGAGAAAATTGTGCTGTTACCAGCAGTGCTCTGCTTTACTCTCTGTCAGGTCTTGGCGACGGCTCTTCAGCCACCTGTCTGGAGAATGAAGAGAAAAAAGAGGAAGAAGAGTCAGATGTTTCTTCTCTCAAATCCAAACCAGCGACACCATCAAAGACAGGTATTAACTTTAATACTAGATCAATGATCCTATATACTGGCAATATTTAAATATTAAACTTCTACTAACATTTTCTTTAATATTTACCTTAACATAGTCTTTGTTGACTAGAGTTTGAAAACTTATGAACAAATTATGTGAACATTAACATTGCAATGCCAAATCAAACCATGGGCACTAACCTGCTGCTGGAAAAGCCTCCACCTCTGGTTCAAGGCTTTCCATCAGATTGTTACGTCTGGCTACAAACTGCATTTGTTGCCATCCAGGTACAAGTTCATTATTGAGGTCCGGAGCTGGTGTTGAGTGACAAGACCTGATTGCTTCTATTCATTCCAAAGATGTTGTGGTCAGGCCTCTGTACATGCTAGCCAGGTTGTTTTGTCAAGAGCTGCTCCAGGCTCAGAAATGAGCCTTTTAAATCAAATAACAGAGCCAGCAAACTGATTGAGTGAGGAAGGCTGTTCCACAGTTTGGGCCCAACAACGACAAAAGCACAATCACCTCTGGTTTTAAAATTAGATTTTAGTTTTAGAAGTTATTAGTGAAGGGGCCAATGTACTGGCTTATCTCCTTAGAGAAACTGCCTGGGCCAAATACTACAACCTCAGTTTTACTGAAATTACAATAAAGTAAATTTGAATACATCCAAGTAGTAATGACAGAGAATCATTGATCGTTAATGTTGTTTGGTCTGACATAAAAGTAAAACTGTTTGTCATCAGCATAGCAGTGGTAGGAAAGTCTATTAAAACAATGAAGTAGATGGCCCATTAAGATTATACAGTCATAAAAGAACAAACCAAAATAGCTAAAATCTGCAAAACATTTTTTGTTAAATGTTTATTAAAATGTTCTCTGCAGTGGTCATTATAGTGGACAAGAAAACAACAATTTTTTGGGAACTGAGTTCAAAACAAAAAGCACTGCTGATGCTTGTCTGTGCAAAGTGGAGAAAACAAAAGATCAGAAATCGTGTCTGCAGTCTGTCATTAAAACTACATTAAACTGTGTGCTTTGCTTTTTTAGATCCCAGCATGCCGAGGTTTGATAATACATTTAATAGACTGAGAGAATCCATTCGTTGGAGACGGAAAAAGGAAGTGGATACACTCCCCTCTGAAGACTTGAAGGAAGAAAAAGGTGGGAAGTACAAATACATTTTATTTATTTTTAATTTGCAGTGCTTTAAGTATTCCCTTAAACTTTTTGTTTTTACTTTTTAATGCATTTAGTGTAAATATATCTCCTTTCTACTCCTTACATTTTCAAAACAGACTTGCTAGGTGCAATGCATTTGATGTGCGTTTTTATTTCCTGTTACTGTGCACCTTTAAACATCAAGCCGAAGCCAAATTTCAACCTCATTGGGCAGAACAATAACATATAAAAGACAATCTTATTAGAGTGTCCATCGCCAATCTTTATTGCATACAAATCACACTTAGTGGGTAAAGTGACCCCAAACAATCCAAAACAGCATTTTTGGTGCAGATGTTCATGAGTAATAGTTGTGGTACTTCAGGATCTAGTTAGTGCTACAGACACAAATGAGCATCAAGCAAACAGTTTCTGAGAAGTTCATCACACAATGTGTGTACACAAGCCAGTGTACTGCAGGTCCCAGCCCTAGATAACTGGAGAGAGTTGCATCAGGAAGGTCATCTGGCATCAAATCTTTGCCAAATCAACCTGTTATAAGAAAATTGTGCTGTTACCAGCAGTGCTCTGCTTTACTCTCTGTCAGGTCTTGGCGACGGCTCTTCAGCCACCTGTCTGGAGAATGAAGAGAAAAAGGAGGAAGAAGAGTCAGATGTTTCTTCTCTCAAATCCAAACCAGCGACACCATCAAAGACAGGTATTAACTTTAATACTAGATCAATGATCCTATAAACTGGCAATATTTAATTATTAAACTTCTACTAACATTTTTTAGTATTTACCTTAACATAGTCGATATTGACTAAATTTTGAAAATGTATGAATAAAGTATGTGGACATTAAGTTTCTCATGCTAAACCATGGGCACTAATCTGCTGCTGGAAAAGCCTCCACCTCTGGTTCAAGGCTTTCCATCAGATTGTTGCATCTGTGTGCAAACTGCAGGTACGAGTGCATTTTTGAAGACCACAGTGTCATGTAACGGTGTGTGGCAGGCAGGAAAATAGGACCCAAACGCCAACTCACGGGAAAACAGGACTGAACTCAAAATGCAGCTTTATTGCTGACAGGTGACAAACGATAACAGTGATACCAAAGCAATGTAAAACTAAACTGGGAAGAGCTAATTGTAACACATACCAGAAGACACGGGGAGAATCACACACAGCATGAGGGACAACACGACACCGACTCACAGAAACACAGGGCTTAAATACACAGAGGGATAACGAGGGAATGAGACACAGAAGGAGAGCACAGCTGGAAGTAATCAGGCTGGACGAGACAAGCAGAGCAGGACACATTCACATAAGACATGGACCACCAAAGTAAAACAGGAAGTATCATACAGAGACGCAAACTTGACACAGTGGAGAAAGCAACTAAGGAACACAGAGACATAAACCATAAGGCAGAGGACTCTAAGAACCAAAATACGCGGAGGGAAATACTCAACTTGGAACACAAGAAACTAGACTAGAGGGAGTAACAAAAGACCAACCATGAGAACATAATGCACAATGCAGAGGGACAGAAAACAAGAAACTCAAACATGCAAAGACACACAATTACACAGAACAGAGGGGACACAGAGAGACATGAAGGGCAAGGGAACAAAACTAGAAGCCATAGAATAAATCACACAAGTACCATATTACAAACATCACAAGGAACTAGAAACACTGGGTCAGGGGAAACATGGAATAAACACAAAGAGAGACGAGGGCTCAAAAATACACAGAGGGGCACACAGGGGGTAAGAGTCACGAAGGGAAAACACTTAGGGAACAACATAACAGGACAACTCAGGAAACATGGCCTAAATAAGAAATGAAATACAGAAATACAAGAAACTAAGAATACTGGGCCAACATGGCCCAGGACCATGACACACAGTTGATTTTGAGTGACAAGGCCTGATTGCTTCTATTCATTCCAAAGATGTTGTGGTCAGGCCTCTGTACATGCTAGCCAGGTTGTTTTGTCAAGAGCTGCTCCAGGCTCAGAAATGAGCCTTTTAAATCAAATAACCTGATTGAGGGAGGAAGGCTGTTCCACAGTTTGGGTGCAACAACCTCAAAATCACCTCTGGTTTTTTAATCGAGCGAGGGACAGTAAGAAGGCCCTGGTTAGGGGGTCGGAAAGGTCACGTGCAGTGATCAGGTTTCAGAAGCTCTGCTGTATAAGCAGTGTCCTGTCCATGCAGAGGATTATCTGTTAGTAATGGAATTTTGCAATATTCCTGAGGTCAAGGAAACAAGTTTGGGTGAGCTTTGAGATGTGAATTTCAAAATTCAGGTGTTGGTCAAAAATTATACCAAGGTTTTTAGTTTTAGAAGGGGCCGATGTACTGACTTATCTCCTTAGAGAAACTGGCTGGGCCAAGTACTAGAACCTCAGCTTTACTGAAATTGCGATGAAGTAATGTAACAGATGCATGGCAGACCCGACCACATATTGCACACCTTTAACACTTTTTTCTTAATTACGGTTGTTGTAACTTCACACACGGCTGCAGCTTTTCAGCTGCCAGCCACACACACCAACAACCACCACATCAGGACTGAGTTCATCCCTCTTAAGCAGGTGAGGCGTAATTGCTGATGCAGCTCCAGCGTGTCAGCCTCCCTGCAGCGGCGCCACAGACCACGCCCTGCCACAAGTAAATTTGAATACATCCAAGTAGTAATGACAGAGAATCATTGATTGTTAACGTTGTTGGGTCTGATGTAAAAGTAAAACTGTTTGTCATCAGCATAGCAGTGGTAGGGAAGTCCATTAAAACAATGAAGTAGATGGCCCATTAAGATTATACAGTCATAAAAGAACAAACTAAAATGTTCTCTGCAGTGGTCATTATAGTGGACAACAAAACAGCACTGCTGATGCTTGTCTGTGCAAAGTGGAGAAAACAAAAGATCAGAAATCGTGTCTGCAGTCTGTCATTAAAACTACATTAAACTGTGTGCTTTGCTTTTTTAGATCCCAGCATGCCGAGGTTTGATAATACATTTAATAGACTGAGAGAATCCTTTCCTTGGAGACGGAAAAAGGAAGTGGATACACTCCCCTCTGAAGACTTGAAGGAAGAAAAAGGTGGGAAGTACAAATACTTTTTAGTGTATTTATTTTTAATTTGCAGTGCTTTAAGTATTCCTTTTAACTTTTTGTTTTTACTTTTTAATGCATTTAGTGTAAATATATCTCCTTTCTACTCCTTACATTTTCAAAACAGACTTGCTAGGTGCAATGCATTTGATGTGCGTTTTTATTTCCTGTTACTGTGCACCTTTAAACATCAAGCCGAAGCCAAATTTCAACCTCATTGGGCAGAAAAATAACATATAAAAGACAATCTTATTAGAGTATCCATCGCCAATCTTTATTGCATACAAATCACACTTAGTGGGTAAAGTGACCCCAAACAATCCAAAACAGCATTTTTGGTGCAGATGTTCATGAGTAATAGTTGTGGTACTTCAGGATCTAGTTAGTGCTACAGACACAAATGAGCATCAAGCAAACAGTTTCTGAGAAGTTCATCACACAATGTGTGAACACAAGCCAGTGTACTGCAGGTCCCAGCCCTAGATAACTGGAGAGAGTTGCATCAGGAAGGTCATCTGGCATCAAATCTTTGCCAAATCAACCTGTTATGAGAAAATTGTGCTGTTACCAGCAGTGCTCTGCTTTACTCTCTGTCAGGTCTTGGCGACGGCTCTTCAGCCACCTGTCTGGAGAATGAAGAGAAAAAAGAGGATGAAGAGTCAGATGTTTCTTCTCTCAAATCCAAACCAGCGACACCATCAAAGACAGGTATTAACTTTAATACTAGATCAATGATCCTATATACTGGCAATATTTAATTATTAAACTTCTACTAACATTTTTTAATATTTACCTTAACATAGTCTTTGTTGCCTAAAGTTTGAAAATGTATGAACAAAGTATGTGGACATTAAGTTTCTCATGCTAAACCATGGGCACTAATCTGCTGCTGGAAAAGCCTCCACCTCTGGTTCAAGGCTTTCCATCAGATTGTTACGTCTGGGTGCAAACTGCAGGTACGAGTGCATTTTTGAAGACCACAGTTGATTTTGAGTGACAAGGCCTGATTGTGTTTATTCATTCCAAAGATGTTGTGGTCAGGTCTCTGTACATGCTAGCCAGGTTGTTTTGTCAAGAGCTGCTCCAGGCTCAGGAATGAACCTTTTAAATCAAATAACAGAGTTAGCAGACCTGATTGAGGGAGGAAGGCTGTTCCACAGTTTGGGTGCAACAACCTCAAAATCACCTCTGGTTTTATAATCGAGCGAGGGACAGTAAGAAGGCCCTGGTTAGGGGATCAGAAAGGTCGGCTGCAGTGATCAGGTTTCAGAAGCTCTGTATAAGCAGTGTCCTGTCCATGCAGAGGATTATCTGTTAGTAATGGAATTTTGCAATATTTCTGAGGTCAAGGAAACAAGTTTGGGTGAGCTTTGAGATGTGAATTTCAAAATTCAGGTGTTGGTCAAAAATTATACCAAGGTTTTTAGTTTTAGAAGGGGCCGATGTACTGACTTATCTCCTTAGAGAAACTGCCTGGGTTAAGTACTAGAACCTCAGCTTTACTGAAATTGCGATGATGTAATGTAACAGATGCATGGCAGACCCGACCACATATTGCACGCCTTTAACCCTTTTCTTAATTACGGTTGTTGTAACTTCACACACGGCTGCAGCTTTTCAGCTGCCAGCCACACACACCAACAACCACCACATCAGGACTGAGTTCATCCCTCTTAAGCAGGTGAGGCGTAATTGCTGATGCAGCTCCAGCGTGTCAGCCTCCCTGCAGCGGCGCCACAGACCACGCCCTGCCACAAGTAAATTTGAATACATCCAAGTAGTAATGACAGAGAATCATTGATTGTTAACGTTGTTGGGTCTGATGTAAAAGTAAAACTGTTTGTCATCAGCATAGCAGTGGTAGGGAAGTCCATTAAAACAATGAAGTAGATGGCCCATTAAGATTATACAGTCATAAAAGAACAAACTAAAATGTTCTCTGCAGTGGTCATTATAGTGGACAAGAAAACAGCACTGCTGATGCTTGTCTGTGCAAAGTGGAGAAAACAAAAGACCAGAAATCGTGTCTGCAGTCTGTCATTAAAACTACATTAAACTGTGTGCTTTGCTTTTTTAGATCCCAGCATGCCGAGGTTTGATAATACATTTAATAGACTGAGAGAATCCTTTCCTTGGAGACGGAAAAAGGAAGTGGATACACTCCCCTCTGAAGACTTGGCAGAAAAAGGTGGGAAGTACAAATACTTTTTAGTGTATTTATTTTTAATTTGCAGTGCTTTAAGTATTCCTTTTAACTTTTTGTTTTTACTTTTTAATGCATTTAGTGTAAATATATCTCCTTTCTACTCCTTACATTTTCAAAACAGACTTGCTAGGTGCAATGCATTTGATGTGCGTTTTTATTTCCTGTTACTGTGCACCTTTAAACATCAAGCCGAAGCCAAATTTCAACCTCACTGGGCAGAAAAATAACATATAAAAGACAATCTTATTAGAGTATCCATCGCCAATCTTTATTGCATACAAATCACAAAAGATTGAAATCATCTCTGCAGTCTGTTAATCAGACTTCATTAAACTGTGTACTTTGTTTCAGATCCCAACAATAGATCCCAAAAGAGAAAGTTTTCTTTTAAACAGAAAAGGGACGAGGATAAACCCCCCTCGATGGATGAAAAAGGTGGGAAGTATAAATATTTTTTATTTGTTCAACCCCATTTAAATATACTTGATATGAGTTTGATTATAATTATTTTTATTATATTTAATTATGGGTATATAGTACATGTGCACCATTCATTTCACTGTTTAGAAAGATTTGTTTCAATGTTTACTATCATAGATATCAAGAGAAAAATTGTTTTGATCAGTTTTTTTTCCCAAAAAAGTGAAAATAAAATTAATTTGGGAACATTGGACATACATCAAAATGGATATTATTTAAATAGTTATAAAGGTCAGAGGTCCAAAAATCCAGTCAGAAACATGTTATAAATAAAAGTGTTTTCCACAGTAAAATTGTGGAACGATAAAATAATAATTGCTATAAACTCTTCTTCTGACCTGTTTCATATTTAGGACTGAAAACTTGAGAAAGTATCAAAGC